AACCTGTTTTGCACTTAAATACTTAATGGGAACACCACTAAAGAAACTGACTCAACCTGTACTTTGTTGGAGCATTTTATTGCATTATGTGATACGCCACTATAAGAACAAGCATCCAGGAAGTAAGAACAATGTAACTTTACAATATATAGTCAGTAAATGAGAGATGCGAAGTCGATTAACCCACAAACATTTTTAGTATTCAATAGCTGAACACTGTACATGAAATATGATTTGTTTCAAGATTCAATTTCATAAACGCGTAGAGGTGTGAGCGAAACATAAGGTTCACCTGATTACATTTATTTGTACGAATGAAACGCTACTGTTGATTACTGAATAAACTCTACAGAAAGCAATGGTTAAAAGTAGAAAGTTCTGTTATTGAAAGTGTGGGTGTTGTGAGATATGTGCTGTCTGGGCCTGGATTATTTATTAGTGGTAAATGAATCAACAACATCTTAGGTATTTTTAATACCTTATTTTCATACAACTTTAGAATATCATTTGCATCAGGCCATTTACACAGGCTTTTCTGATCATTTCACTAACTGATACGTCCAACCTCTTCACTCCTTTTTAGGCGCGGTTGTTATCTTTTCAGACATGATTGTGTTCTCCTTCTGTCGTTACACATTCCATGGTAATATTTTGTACATGAAGTCATCACTACTTTATTGTCACAACTCATCTTCGTTGTGTGGTGTTTATGGTTTACATTGGATAATTTAGGTGTTCTCCATGTAGTTATTGTAAAATAAATAGTAGAAAAGATTCAGTATAGCTTTTCTTTTTCAATATTTTCACAGAATTTTTCACAAAAAAGGTAGAGGTTTTGAAAAGCTGGTTAGCGATTTCTTAAGACGTGTCAGAGATTTTAAAGAGATGTGAAATGTATTACTGATCTTCCCAGTAACCTGCTATCTAGTTCGGGAAGTCTGAAAAAGAATTATGAAACTATCAATTTATATTATGCTTAAAGCATGTCAGTTTGTTGACTTTTACATATCCCGTTTTAACTGTTTAGCTCATCTATACAAGACCGTAGTTAGTTTATTTTGTTTCGTACTAATACCCGATTTCATGATATCAGAACTGATAATAACTACCAAAGTTCATTTATTAGACAGGTTAGAACCAAATTTGTTAAAAAGTAATCCCATAAACACTTACGGTTTGATGTTAGGTGATTCGATGTAATCAGCTTTGGGAAAATATAATCAACATTAACGTGAATTCTCACGACAACCTTATTGAGAAATTTGGTGGCAAGAACGGAAATAAATTTCTTATTTATGGGAATAATTATTAATCTTTAAAAATCAGACTGTATACAAAAGCTCATCGAATTCCATAGTAATTGAAGAAAATTTGTGATTAAAATGTACTGAATAAGGTCTAACTCGATGGAAAGTCGATGAATTCAAATGAAAACCTCAGAATCAAACAACTAGTACTTTATGCTTATTCAGTTGTGTCTGCAGGCATTATAATACTGTGAACATAACATTAGGAGCATGTTGTAAATTAAATACCGAGATAGGCTAAAACAGACTGATATTAGTAACAAGAACTCAAGTAAACTAAAACCAAGATATCATGGATGAAAGTGGTTTCCAACATCACATTTCAAGTTTTTTACAAAAAGTTTCAATGTGTCTTCTTCAGTAGCCTTTTAAGAACTTTCTAAAGGAAAGTGATCATCGAATAAAGATCAACCAACCAACTCTCTGTATCTGGGCACTAAGAAAAGATTGATGATATCGAGATCCTAAAATGACCTGAAAATTATTATGAACAGGAACTTCAAAGTATGCACGCTAAGCAGTGAGCGAGAACATTTTGTTTCTTAAAAGTGGTTATTGATAGAAGAGTTGGCTACGAACACCCCTTGCTGTTTTATTCGACATCTAATATAAATCAAGTCTAATATTGTCATTCTAAGTCATTACTTTAGTACTGAGTGGCAGATTTCAATCTCATGTTGTCTTGAGAATATAACACTGATCACTATACGGCTTAGTATTAAAAAACCTACGATAGCCAATGTTACTTCTACAATCTCCTACTTAGCAGTGTTTTATTAAATTATTTTAACAATTAAAACCGATGTTTTGATTACACACTTCATAAGACATCACATCAGTTTTTTAATCATACTGAATAAGAGTTAAGTAGAACCCAGTATTTCTACCATCTATTAACAATATCTGAAACTACCTTATTTTGTTATTAGGCTGTTGTTTCTTTTTGTTTGAAGTTATTGCCGGTATACCGTAACATTAATTCAGAGGAGATATGCACACTATCCGTATGTTATACTTTTGACTGGTGCCTATTTGATGTCTGCCCTAAGTTATTTATTTGCTAAGTATTTTCCTTCAAATCTAAATGAATACTTGTACACGTATATGCGCCATTTTTTGCATTTTAGATATACTTAGAACCAAATGTATAAATTTTGCCACGTAATAATTTACATGCAGTCGTAACTAATAGGTGCTTTAAACAAAACAGTAAAATGAAATATAAATCTGAATAATACCAAACGTAAGCATGAACTTAAGGGGGGAAAACGAAGAATAACCGGAACAGATTAACCTCACAAACACATATACAAGTATAGTTACTTTGCTAAATAAATCTGTCTAATTAGTTTTGGAAGAACGCTATCTCTGCCTAGTTATTATGTGTAATTAAATTTTGAATAAACTTCAAATATGTTTGTTAAATACTTCAAATATATACCGATTTTCATGTGTTACCCAGTCTAAATTTTCACTACACACTGTAATCAGAAGTCTTTTGGTAAGGATGTACTAAAAGTTGTTGGCTAAACATATGATGGAAGTTCACTTCGTGATTGCTGGAAAAACACACTCAGTGACTTTGGTACTTGGCTTTCTAATTTCATCACTATTCAGTAAAATTTTCTTAACCTATTGAATTCATGCTTTGCATTTTTTCCAGAATTAACCATATGATCGAATCAAGCACGAGTCATGGATTTATCTCTTAGATGTGACCCAGCTGTTCACTGCAAAGTTACAGACCAGCTTACGAGGTATGTTTGTCATTAGTCGTTTGTAGGTATTTACTACTAATTGCTAAATATCACTTAGGTTACACATAACTTACTAAGCGCTTATAAGTAATCACTTGGTATCCGAATACAAAAATGTCTGGATTTGAGCTATTCAGTGATGGATATGTGCAAACATGTACAAAATATTGGATTTCCAATTTATTTGTATTGTGGTTTTCTTCACATAAGACGTTTAAAAGTCAACATATACCAACAAGCGAAAAAGCAAATTTTACAATCTAATACTAACTTATACATTAAAATTTATAACCATGGCGTCAAAGAGCCCTATGCAGCATTCCCTTAGTCCCATACAAACAATCCCAGGATATAAGGAGATTGGTATGATAGGTCGTAAATAACGACAGATGAGAAAACTGAATTTACCCCTCTCTTTACTGAAGTAAGCGAATTATTCATCCAACGAACGTTTGAGCGCTTTTATAACCAGAGAAATGAAAACACAGCACTGATTAAATGATCTTTCCTGTAAGGTTTGTAACACTGATCAACTATTAGGTAGTTACCAGCTCATATAAGTATCCCTCTTGATTATACTAGTAAAAGTAAAACTGAAATGTTTTAATTTTTTATCGAATACATTAGTAAGAACATAATTTAAACGAAACCTCTTAGGACACCCGTTTCCACTTTAGTTTAAGAGTGGTGCTTTTATTATCATAATTTATGAAAGGTGACTTATTTTGTAACACATCGAGACACAGTAAGTCATCATTGCTTTTGAAGTGACAGAAAAAAGGACGTTACCTCGATAATTGCAAGTAAGTGAGAATGTTCCCTATCGGTTTCAACAAAATCGTAGCCAATTTCATGTTACTCAAGTTCTCAAACATGCTGAATACATAAAAGTCTTGAGCCAAAGTGATTGAATTTTCAAAAAAATTACTACCCATCTTATTGAATCTTAACAGGGCTTGTTATTCTTAAGATAGTTGGCTGTCAGTTACCACACTTTTCGATGCAAACTAACCTTAACAATAACTTTTGAGCACTGCAAGTATTTAGCTATCAACGTTGACTTTTGTTTTTCAACACAATCAACAAAGGGAACAGAATACTTATACTATAGATTATCTGTCATGAAATTTTGGTGTTCTGTTAAATAGATCTCTTAATCCTAATGCATTTAATGTCAGTCCAGTCATTGCAACCAATGTAGACTAAGTATACCGCCGATTTCCAACCCTTTTTGCGATACAATGATAGTAGTATTCAAAGTGTTAAGTTTCAGTTTTGACTCCTTAGAGAAAAATATCCATCATGCTTCATAAAAGTGCGCGTTGCTACTTACGAAAGGACTAAATTAGTCAGCTTTATTTATAATTACAAATGAATGTATTGTCAGATAACGATATAGTTTTATAAGCCATAAGGATAAGTAAGTGAAGTTTGCAGTATTGATGAGTTCAACAGTCGTCTACATCAACTGCTTACAAATAGGTTAGACAAATATTGTACTTAAGAGCTCTTCACAGAGACTAGAAATAAACGCTTTTCTTCAGAAAGAGCTCGTACAGTTTAGTTCGAATTTCCAATCTGACACTGATAAACTGGAGGTAAGCCACAGAAAGCCCTGAACCTAGGTTTCGTGCTTTTGCTACTCATCAGCAAGGTGCATCTGCAACCTCGACGGAAATGATGTCCTGCATCACCTAGTGATGTGGTCAAAGACATTACCACTCAGCTAATTGCCTCCATCCAACTGACATCTATCAGTGTACATCCCAATAGTGAGCCTTCAAGTCTAATGGCCACAGTGCGAAATGATCGGTACAGTTTGATCACTACTTAGGACTAGATTGCTTGAAATTAGTTACCCTGGAGTAACCAATCAATAACAAACTGTAATTTGCAGAACTTACCCATTAAAAGGATCTACAGCGTAGCTTATTATCTTTTCCTGACTTGTGTTGTAGGGTACTTGAATCTTCAGATGTTTTGAACTGTTCACACCTAATCGTAGAATCTGTAGAAAAAAATGGTACTTTACATTATTACATGATATTTATCTACGGAATAATATCCAAAACAGTTTTCATTTTTGGAAACAAACAAAATTTTATGATTTATTTTGATATGTCTTGCTGGCAGCAACAAATTAATAAGATTAGCTAATAACTTGACTTAGAAATTAAATTTATCAAATTATATTTGGTGACTGACAAACAATATTAAGTATATTTTCTGATCTCCTTTTGTAGCCATTGACAGAAGGCTATCGAAACACACACAATCCTGGTTTTATTCCTCCTCTATAATTGCCAGTTTTCTCAGTGATTCACTCAACATTTAAGTGCATATGAATAACCGAGCACTTATCTGACAAATTTGAGGAATCACTGCACAGTTTTGTGTTAAAATAATGAATGCCATGTCTAATCAGTATTCATAGCAGCCATAATTCCTAAACCAAAAAGTGCAAAGTAACTAGCTGCGGTATCATAGTGTGCCTTATATCAGAAGCAAGGAGCAGAAAATAAGACTTCGGATCTTTTGAGCATAATGATACAGCAGAATGCAGATTCCACTTAATATTTATCGATCAGCTGACAGGTGAGCATCAAAGTTGAACCAAGCATTACAGAACAATGATTGGATTCCAACACATCATATCAGTACATCAAGATAGAGAATGGGGAAGAAAGCAATTAGTAGTAACAGGGTGTCATAAAACGAGGGGAAGAACTAAGAAAACAATAAGGAACTCCAGTATGATGATTAGTGTGGTGATATCGTATGTATACATATGCACCACTGAGGTCGATTCTAAGCTATGTCTCAAAGATCCCAACCATAGATTTCGTTTATCACCTGAACACTATCTCTATATAGCTCAGCCTAACAGCCAAAGGCTTCAGGAACCGACATCATGTCTCATTCTAATCAACCCTAACCTTTGTCAGCTTAAACCTACTTTAAAACAGGGTAGAGAGTGATGATGCATGAAGACAGCTGAGTCAATGAAGATTTACAACCACATCAACCTAACTTCTTTTTCCACCTAAAACTATTCATCTGACCTTCGTGTTTTCGATATGAGATCACCGCAACACAGAGCCGGTGTGTTCACTTAACAGGACTGTATCATTTGAGTACTTTATGTCTACTACTTTGTCTTATGAGATGATTTTATTCCCGTTGACGCAAAAAGAGGAGAGGAAAGCCCTTACAAGTACGTCTATGATAAATCTGACTGAGAATGAAAACAGGAAATACTATTTCCTGATAAACAGCATTTGACGTAAACAGCTCACCTGATACCAAACGCAGGTTACGGCAAACCCATGGGTGTTTGAATGTAGATGTAGTATAGGATGTAATCAACTAACATATCTTCCAGTCAAAAACAGTAGCATACGAACTCTTGATCGGTAACCAGTGGAGTCAAATGTCACTATCAAATCAAGAAGTTCAGCTAGTGCTGAGCACCACTAAGTATGCTTGTATTCCAGAACCTGTAGGAAGTTTAATAACTGGTCTATGCTCCCCTAACTAGATATAAAAATTGCCCAAGTTAACCAGAGAATTTAATATTTCGGCGGTTTCAAGAAGCGTGTAACGATAACAGACTGATGGATCTTAGGCACTATGTTCCTCACGGTGATTACTCTCTGGTTGTCAAAGAAGGATTCCCGTCCTTTCTGAGACTAAGACATTTAGTGACTGAGACCAATGAGATGGGAATAAATCCAATTTTCATTTCCTAGCTAACACTTCATTTAACGTTGCCAAATATTGTAGATCGCCATCTTTGTATAACGCTTATTTAAGCTCATTGGGTACTGCTTCTCTTTCTAGTTTCACGTTATATAAAGCCTTTTCAGCTTACGTTTGATATTGACGGTCTACCCCAGTGTTACATTTATAGTGCAACTGGAAAGACAGCAACGGAATAACAGCTGGAGGCCGGTATAAATGATTCGACCTATCGCTACAGTCATCTCCATTCTAAGGGAATTGTAGACCTATTTTTCTCTTTTCTGGTTTCACCAACCACTGTGGGTGCCCTAGTTTTATTGATATGTAAAGTCTACCAGTTTTTGCCTCTTCTGTCGTCATTTCTTCATTCATAACTGCGCATCATCATGACCATTACTTAAAATCCGTATCAGTTCGTATCTAATCTGTTTTTGCTCTTCATTAAGTTTGGAGACTGTAGGATGGCATTCACGTACACTCAATATTTTGGAAATGACTTCTGAAAAACACTGGATCTTTGTAAGCCTAACTTGCTAAGCAGTTATGTTCTTTGCAGCCGTTCTTGTAGTAGACTGGAGATGGCTTAAGCAGAAGTGTCGATGTCCTCCTTCAATATCCATCAAGGCAGTTCTTCATTAAAAGCAGCCCTAATATTCGCACCATCTATCTGTCCTCAGAACCATCTTATCCCTGTAGTTTTTCTTCATTCAATAAAACTATGACACCGGCATTCTCGAGCCGATACATGATTGCTGTCTAAATACGAGTTTCATATGGTGACAGTTTTCCTCCTAAATTCTTCAGGGATAATTGTTGGTAAACTTAGTCTATTTGTGACCAAGGTTGAGTTGATAGTGTTGAAACTCACGAAAAACAACGTCTGTTTATGTTAAAAGTTAGTACAAGCCAGATATAGATGGTGTTCTGAGTATTGTTGAGACAGGTGATCGACACTGTCTGTTTGTTAGGTTGAGATTTTAATGGTGTTATCTAAGTGGCTTTCTCTCTGACGTAGTCCACCTACTTGTGCTTTAAAACTACCTGCCACAGGTATGCTTTGATTTGATTATTTGTCTTTTAGTAGGAGGCTAGACCGTTTTCAGTCGAACTTACCTTTCATTACATCTTGACTGCATTCAGTGGGTTCTCTGGTATGGAATGTAATGGAATTGTGCAGTACATTACATTACAATTTCAATTATAAAGATGACTGCTGATTGTGATCCAGTGAAGCTGTGCATGTTCTGCTTTAGTACTTACCATTATATCTACATTTTCCAGTCCGTGACAACTAGTCATCTAATTTCCAGAAACTGAAATAGTGAATTTTTGGATTCCCTATACTGGCCACTTAAGATTAAAAGACAAACCTTACTTTTTCTCTGTCTGCGTATTTCAGAAGCAAGCACAAGTACATGACCTGAGAAGTTAAGGTTTCGGCTAGCGAATTTTTTTCTGTTGATTTAATAGTGAGTGCAGATACTGAGAGCTATGATACGTATTTTGTATCGCGGTTTCAGTAATAATAGGTATTCTATTTTATGAGCTCAACTATTTATGTGTCAGAAGAGCTGGGGGAGAAGTAGAGAAGTTGTGAGAATACTGACGAATAGATGCGACGAAAGATTAAAAGTCAAAGAAGTCGAAGATTGTTAATGTTCTTAGGAGACGCAAGTGCTGGCTAAGTTGTAGGTGTGGTTAACACTCTGTGGTTGCTAACACCATGAAGGGTTACTTTTAATTTGGACATCTGATAAAGAAATTGGATAAGTAATAGTGGTCCAAGACATCTACCTCAGGAAGGTTGCACAGAATCGTTTTTGAACTTTGAGGTCCAGTCCTTATTTTAAACCAACTAATAACCCCTACCTGCCGACATCGATATATCTCAGAACAAAAAGAAAAGTGCGATTTTCTGGTATGATATTTTCTAACTCCCTTCAAATAAAGAAATAGAGTACTGCCGGTCATCCAAGCGAAACGCTTTACTGTAGCCACACCTTCTTCCAACCAATAGCAAATAATCCCTCAAATTCACCTTAAGAGATAGATATTTACATTAAAACAGTATCTGCTTTCCTTTTAAACACCATACAAAAAGATGTCAGGGAATAAATACTTTCAGTGAAACAACGCGTTTAGTTCATTGTGAAATGCAAGCCTGACAACCATATCAAGGTATCAGCTATTCGTCAGTGAGGCTGAGCTTATTCATCTATACAGTCAAGTTCAAGTCAACAGGTCACAAGTACGTAGCCGCCGCCACCCATCGAAGTCTAGGTATCCCTGTAGTAAAAGTAGTTCGCACACGGAAATTGTTTATTTCTTGTGAAAATATTTTGTTGATGAACAACTAAAAACTTTAAACCTGATTACAGATCTCGGTGATCGTTTCCAGCGCCTGTAACTAATAAAATAATACTGAGACAGAGGTTTTTTCAGTTTCACTGTAACACTGCAGGTTCAACTGGTGCAGTGTGATCACTATTTCCAGCGAAACAAGATGGTAGTGACGGCTTACGATGAGTGGTTACTCTAAATATTACACAAAATATTGATTTTCTTGGGGCTATCTGGACAAAATTAGGCCTCAGTGAAAATTTCAGCTTAGTTTTACACTACAATGTGTCAAAAGTCTACTTCCCTTGGATACGCGTAATTTTATCTGTGAAAGTACAAATAAGAATAACTTCACATTGTGACATTTTAGTATAATTTAATGTACTTTAACATTACTACTTCAAAAGTTGTTATGTCCAACTCTTCTGTATCATATCTAGTTAACTGAGGCTGTGGAAGTAAGATCAACCATAACAGAATTCTGCTTTTAAAGGAAGCATACTTGAGATCACTTACCTCCTTAGTCTCCCATAGACTAGTTTCAGCTATAGTTGACCCATGCATTTCTCTTGAAAGCCGCTTTCGAAACTAGCTTAGCTTCAGTACTTTGCACTTCCTCCCTGATTATGTCAACTCATTACTTCTTCGTGCTCTTATACAATGACTACACATAATAAACATAAAGACTGTCTCTTTGCAGTTGTCTTTATTTCTTAATAGTGTTACTCTCAGTATCTTGCCGTCTTTACCGGTCACTTCATGCTTGATAACACACTCAATTTCCAGTCCCAGTTAACTCACATTGTTTTCTCGGTTACATTGGTCACTAATCCAAAATATGTTGAACATTCGAAATATTTTGTTAATCTTACCTATTTAAATTCAGTAAAATTTTGGATTAATTGATTTGTCTCTCCGCACCGCCAATTCCCAACAAATTCTCCCAAAATTTCTTTTTCCTTAGATATTCAATCTCATTTTATACATTTTAATTTAAATACTTAGGATAGTTACAAAATTACTTAATTTAGCCTAGTAACAAAGATCCAATTGAATGAAGATTGGAAATTCACAAGTGCGATGCTGCAAGGTGGAAATTAGTCACAAAAGAGTACGGAAACCAACATGATTACCCAGACAGAATTTAAACTTGCATAATATGTAAACACAATCTTCATGATAAACCGTGATCAGGAGTGACGTGGAAACAAAATGAAGACCATATTGAGTTATTAAAATATATTGAAAAGATTTATTACCCGATACAAATCTAAAACAAGCAACAAAGGTAATTTAAGCAGGATTTATTGAATTCACAAATTTCCATAGAACTCATCAGCTATTTACTCTGCATACATGATTTTATATATTGTTGTGCAATGAAGGAATACATATACACACGATATAAACTGAGACATTCACTAGGGCATGGCAACACGGAGTGAATCCTTTACTTATGCCAAACAGAGGTGCGACTAGGTTGGGATGGAGTAAAGAATTGATAATGAAAAATAAATGGACTAGGAATAGATTACATCATTTTGAACAGAACAGTTAGTGGTCAGCTAGGCAGCTTGATAAAGGTGCACACTAAGAGAACATATGTGTTAGATAAACAAACATTGATTATAGTAGTACTAATGCAAAAGAGTGATAATAATGATAATGGTAATGATGAGAATCAAAAGGCGGAATCAAAAATCCCGTGGAGTTCGATTACGAAACACTTAATGGATTATCGACGATATGTTGACACTACTAAGGCCTTCTCAGTTGCTAGCAGACAGTGGATTAAGAAAATTCTTGCAGTCATGAAAGCATATGCAGTTAGAGTTCGCAAACCAAGCCTATATATACAGAAAGAGATGGTAGTCACCTTGAATCTACTATGGTAGGTACTGAAGCATTTCGAACTTATTTATTTTTACCTAGAAATGCCTTTATTTCTTCCTATAATTTGCAAATTTATCTCTCATTTTACTGAACTGTAATGTCTTCTTGAACTAGGCAATCGGCTTATTTACATCTTTATATTCATTGTTATCGTCCAACTATTACTCTAGCATCCTCCAATTATACACTGTTACCAAGTTTGTTAATTGATATTGATTGACCTTGTTTCAAAATGACGCAATTTTTCAATCTTTTCAATATTCATATTCTCATTGTTATCCTTATCATTATTATCACTCTTTTGCATTAGTACTACTATAATCAATATGTTTGTTTATCTAACACATATGTTCTCTTAGTGTGCACCTTTATCAAGCTACCTAGTTGACTACTAACTGTTCTGTTCAAAATGATACAATCTAGTTTATATTATGTGTATATGTATTCCTTCATTGCACAACAATATATAAAATCATGTGTGCAGAGTAAATAGCTGATGAGTTCTATGAAAATTTGTGAATTCAATAAATCCTGCTTAAATTACCTTTGTTGCTTGTTTTAAATAAAAATATATTTCTAGAAAGACAATAAAAATGTGGATGATGAGAGAGAGATAGTGGTCGGTGTAATATTGGCGATTTACTAAGTGCAAGGTAGCAACAAAATTGAACAAGTTTGTCTTGTACACATAATTCCGGTTTTTCTATGAATATGACGAGAGATTCTGCAGTACAGAGAAGGCGGAGGCGTACCACATTTGGCGAATTTCTTTTCACTTTGTAGATGACTTTGAATACTGAATCAGTTGTGATGCTGTGACCAGTGTTGATGAGGCATTTCATTACTGGACTTTTGTTAGAACTATTCACATCTCTTCGCAGCCAGGCAGAACAATGTCCTCTTAACCCTTTAATAAGAATGCTCATCAAATGACCTATACATGTCTCCACAGAATCAGATCAACTGATAAAAACACATGGAAGCCGTCGGATATGGAAGCTTATCCTAAAGGTTGTTGGGAACCACTAAATGACCGGGGAGCAACATTCTTAAGGTTAACGTGAAGTAAGTTTCGCTAGTTTGAATTTCCTTCCGGGATACTAACAGCAAACTCACACTTGAAATTAAGATTCATGTATGGCTTTTTCTTTGTAACTGAAATGGGTGTCTCTGTTTGTGGTTTGGGTCTTATGTTTTTGTCCAAAAATCGTGCTGGATATCAGTTTTCAGTCAGAAACGTGAGTTCTTCTTGCAAGCTATCAGTGCTGCAGATTCTGGGAACTTGGTAACCAAGGGAAACGATAACTGTTCCTTTTCGACAGATACCAGACTTTAGAAGTCCATTAGCCGATCATTCCGCACAAGGTTACTGTTGATAAACCTTCTCAAGTCCAAAAATAAAATGCCTCATCAACACTGGTCACAGCATCACAACTGATTCAGTATTCAAAGTCATCTACAAAGTGAAAAGAAATTCGCCAAATGTGGTACGCCTCCGCCTTCTCTGTACTGCAGAATCTCTCGTCATATTCATAGAAAAACCGGAATTATGTGTACAAGACAAACTTGTTCAATTTTTGTTGCTACCTTGCACTTAGTAAATCGCCAATATTACATCGACCTCTATCTCTCTCCTATTATTCATAGTTTCACTGTATTTCGTGGTATTTACATATTATGTTGGTTTCTGTACTCTTTTGTGACTAATTTCCACCTTGCAGCATCGCACTTGTGAATTTCCAATCTTCATTCAATTGGATCTTTGTTACTAGGCTAAATTAAGTAATTTTGTAACTATCCTAAGTATTTACACTAAATTGTATAAATTGAGATTGTAAAGCAATGAAGAATAAAATGTCAAAAATATATATTATCGCTGAACTTCTCTTTTTCTCTAACGCTCCGACAGATATTTTCGTTCACTCAAAAGTAGCTTCCCTGCAATGCTGAAATCATGTTGTCTAAAAAATATGCAGACCGCAACTAGAATGGATCTGAATTTTTCAACATTTTGGATCTTGAAAGCTTATAAGTATGTTTACTTCATGCATGTAATTGTTTAATTAAAATGTATATTACATCATTCTTACTGAATTATTGAGAAATACGTAAAAATATTGATTTAACCAGTCATATTCAACCCAGGAAAATTGAATATCTTCGAATGAAATATTATGGAATGAGGTTTCTTGCATCAGGTCTCCATTGGTTAAATAAAACTGTTTAACTGCACCATTTGAATGAAATGTGAACAACGTTCTTCTTTTCAAATCTCCGTGGACAGCTGTAAATCAAAAAAAGAAATAGATTATTTAGAAGTGGACGTTTTCAGTGTTAGGCTGTAACAAAGATCAAGTAAGCCTCAATAAAAAGCGGCAAAAACTGTGTTTAGATAGCACATGAGATATGCATGGTCGTATATGATGGACGATAATGAAGATAAATCAGTCTAGACTACTTATAACCCTCATGTACAGAGTAGCTGAAGTAAGTTAGTCCAAACTAGTCATATAAAACGATTAAAAGTTCAAAGCTATCTAGTATGTTTGTTGGCAGAATCTTAGTGCACACTGACTAAAGTAAACCTGAGAATAATACCTGACAGTTCATGTATGAAACATTGAGATCGTCACTTGTCAGGCGACTAACTTGGTCTAATTTTTTTGCGTAATAAACTGTTAACTTCAGCGTTTTCTCATCGCAGGTTTTCCATTCCTTCAAATCATTCTACATGTTTATATCCCCTCGATAAACAGACAATTATTGCTCCGGAAGTTGTTCATAATCCGTAAAGTCAAAGCTCAGTGATTGATTCAGTTTGGTTTTACATCAGATGTTTGTTCAGCATATGATATTGAATGCTGTCAATATGTGCTGTATTTCGCTTGGTGACTGCAAGCATTGGGAACCATGATGTGCATTGATTCTTATTTGAAACTTGCTGGCTGGATATACCTGCACCCGAGTGAGTGGTATCGTCCCTGCTGAAACTCAAACCTAGCACCCATCGCTTCGAATGCCAAAGAGTTTTCCACCAGACTACTTGGACATGACAGCCACCTGTTGTGGAATGGGCATCAATAATCCATATTCACCGGTACCAAGTAAACTACTGCATTATCAGTTATCGGTCGTTGTCCAGGCATCCACAAAAGAGCCCATATACCAACAGACGTCAGTCAAATCAATTCAGAGTAACAACGGGAAATTACAAGCATCAATGAATAACAACAGTAAATACAATTTTTTGTTCATTCTATTGCCTTCATCGTGTATACTAAATCGAAAGTCTTTCTTTCGCGCCGTCCCTTCACTACAAGTATGATATGACCTATTAAATATCTTCCGTTAGAGTTTAGAATTTCCACTAGATTATTAGGAAACCATTGGTCTATATACTTTTGTGAATCAAAACGAATGGATATCATTCAAAACTTTTACAAGTCAAATCATATTTTTGCATTGCAATTTTGATTTGTTAAGTATAAATGCTTCGTTTTGAACTAGGCAATGGGTTCTTATTCTAGAGTAGTATTTCATTGTTTGAGTGCAACACTGCTACCATGTGATGTGACTGAGGAGTAATTAAATGACTTAGTAAAATTTCGCGTCACAATTACAAAGTATTTGATATAGCACCCAAAAATGCCACTTCAACAGTAACTTATAGGACTCAATTTGCTTTTAGTGAGCCCATACATAAAAGAAGATAAGAGTAGACCATTGAGTATTAAAGAATTCATTATCTATTGTACTGGAAAAAAAATAACTATAGCATGTCATTCTAAACATTAATTTTACTTGTTTAAACGTCCACAAAGCTGCTTATGCGACCGGTCCATTCAAAATGTGGTTTGAACAAACTACCCAGAAGTAGTTAGATTATTATCATAAATAAATTAGATTAAGAATCTTTTATGAAATCTTAATTGTTTGATTTGAATAATATTTCGAACCAAATTACTGCCGTCAATTACACTAATGGTTGGAAAAGTGATTACGTACTTATTGATGTATAACGATGATATCGTTAACGTGTTTTATAAGAAACCTTTTATTCCTCAGTACTACAAAAGAGTTCAATAATAATTAGTGTTTCTTATTGTACTTTCTTCTTTTTCGACCTCACCTGGATAATTTAAATCCATTTTTGGGGCTGAATTTACAAAGGTACAAGATAAAATTAACTGAAATCCAACAAAAGGAACCCTTTCTTTTTTATACTAATCCCATTTTAGCTGAAATTGAATACCATCCTTTACAACTACTTTTAGTTTGATTTTAACCATACACAATATACTTCTGTCTTCAAGACAGTGAGTTTTGTCACAATCCACTAGCTCTTTAGTTTTTCGTTGGTGCTGTCAAAACATCTTAGTAGGTTCCCTATACCTAATACATTTCATGCACCTGGGTTGTCCGGGGGTGGCTGGTTCTAATCCTGCCACTGCCCAGATTTTCACTTCACCTTCAGTCACCACCTAGTAAAAATAATACATGTCTACCGAATCGTGGCTATCTCAGAGAGTCAAACAGATATTGCTATATTTATTTTCCCTTCTGATGTGTAACATAGTTCCTTTCGGTTTTTAACCACTCCCAAGTGCAGATTTTAATTAAGCAAATAGCTGAAGCTTATTAACCCTATGGAACATACCACTTTGTGAGTTCAATATATTTAAAAACATTATTCGTTGTTTCACAGAAACAAGCAACTGGCTAACACAACAGCTTTTAGCAAGTGGATGGATGTACCAGCAGACGTTTACGTTGCTTGCACAGTGTAGTGTCATGCTTTTGGATACAACGAAGTATCACGATTGCCAGTACTTTTTTGAATGGAAAGGCTTTTTATTTTTAATACTCACATATTACTTCATATGGAGTTACAAACATGTTTCAGCTACTTGTCGACTCACAGCTATTTTCTCTGTATCCGACTACCGGCTTCTATGCTCCGAATGACATGAAGGTAGAATGCTATGCATTGCAAAGACATGGGTTGAAAAAGCCCACATATTAGCGCAACCTGGTTGGTAACTGGTTATAAGTGACAGAAAACTGTAAGTAGAAACAACGTTTCTACTGATGTCTGACAAAACTCAATATTGCGGAAGGAAAGAAAACTTTCACTTAAAAAATTGATGGAAAGTGAAAATAGCTTGGATGAAGTTTGTTAGAGGTCCAGTAATAAGTTATTTTCAAGGCTTGTTCATCATTTTTTCTCCAAAAATATCTCCGTGTGACAATTTTATATAAGGGAATTAAACAGAAGGATATTAAAGTGAAGGATCCATTCATTTATTACGAGAATGTTTTAAAGTAACCAAATTTATTATCCTTCGGCAACGAAAACATGTGTGTAAACACAAATCTCAATAAAGCATTGTTGATAACAAACTTTTCTGGCATACCTCAATGTACACATTTGAAGATAGACATACAAAGAAGTAATTGAACTATTTATTGAAGAGAGATGGAAGATACTGGCAAAAGGCTGAAGAAATGGATGCGAGTGTCAAAATTTATCGTCCACATGTGAACGTATTATGAAAATGAGTGGTGCGATCAGCAGATAAATCAGATTTCGAACTAATATCAGTCGAAGATGTTTAGGTTTCTGGAATCTTTAGCTGTACGAAAAATTAACCATTTTTATGTAGTAACAGTTTATCCCCATAGTAAGCTTCTTTTATAAATTATTTACAGACGAATATCACTGATGTTGTGACTACACAGTATCCTCATATTTTTAAATCCTTAGTTAGGTTGTATAATTTGTTTGACTGGATACTGAGTGATGACTGAAGATGAAATGAAAACTCGCTTCACGACAGGATTTCAACTAGTGACCTTCCGGTTGTGGGGTCATGTTCTTATTTCAACTGCAAACATCACTTCGTATTACTACTATCAATCCTTAAAATCACGACTATCCCATTGTTGGTTTAATCCACCTCCATTTTTGCTCAATAAAAAGGAAAAGCTTGGACGTTGCTCAAAAAAATGGTGTACAGATATGTCTTATCTTTGCAAATGTCTTCTTCACCTTGCACTTTACAAGGTTATGAAAAGTACTCACTGTTTCTAAACAACCTGTTTCATAATATCTAGAGAATGTAATGCTCACTATACTTTTCACAGTGTCATGGACACTGTAAGTGGGTCACTTAAACGTGTGTGTACGTAGATAGTGATGTTTGAATTTTCAAGTTTTGAAAAGTATCATTACAAAAATGAGAAGAAAGAAAGTTTCATTAATATTTTCAGAAAAGTGAAGTATGCATCAGCCTGTAGGATATCAGACTAAAAATACATGTATATAAATAATAAATCAGCTTCCACAGTCACTATCCGGCATGTTACCAGATAAGCTTTATTTGGAGGGACTTGCATTAGAGGTCATTATTTCGTCTATATAAATATAAAGTGTTAATTAGGTGATCTTGACTTAATAGTCTTTTAGTATTTATTTAAAACAGTTTTTCCTCCTAATGGTGTTCTATTAAATGACAAGGTTGAAACTGTTCATCAACTCAAGCTGGATTCTGCATACTTTTATCTAAACACCTAATATTTGACTAAACATATCCTTTCGTTCTTGTAGTTGGATATATCAAGATGGTCAGAAGATAAAAGCTTTCATGGTTGACTTGGTTTTACACGTATATGAACTGACATCAGCCATTCGCGTAAGAAGCAAGCAGTATTACACATACATAACGTAATGTGATGGTGGGTGAACTTTGGTATTTCGAGCAGAATGAAGTTAAAAATATCACAGAATACCACTAGAACTAATTCAGCCTAATCTAATATACTTGAACTCCTGTTCGAGAGGGAATATGAAAAAAATGTCTAAGTGCAAGCCACTGACAAGCAAATACCATCAAAATGAAACTCATGACGATTTTGTGGCATACTTTTAAGGAACCCACCCAGCAAAAAAAGATCGACCAACTCGTTTCAGTATAATAATCATTAACAAGAAACAAGTATCAGGAAATAACAAACGATACATATTCCATAATAAGTGGTCGTCATAACCCAGTAGGTCAGTGGATAACTTTCTGGAGTCCAAAACAATCAGTACTTGATTTGAATCTACTTTTAACACCAATTGATGAGTTCTAATCAAGTGGAATACATGCGCTAAACTCCACTACCATCCACCACTATCAAGCATTCAAGTTTCAATTTTTATTCAATTAGGTTTCTTGAGACCAAAATATTCTAGAGTCTATCGCGAAGAAGGTGGAAGGCACCGATTTCACAGATTTCCAA